GGAGAGGGACCGTAGTCTGCCTTCCGAGGAGCCCGCGTCAGTCCTCTCCTCCTACGCCCGGCTCCCACTAGGCCTTAGGAAAGGAGCAGGAAGGAAAGTCGAACTTTGTAAGGGGTTGTTCAGGAGCAGAATCTTTTCCAGAATCAAGGAAATGCTACCAGCCTTCTCAGCGCAAACTCACAAACTACGGACGGGATTTGGGGGAGGTTGTCCTTATGTAGAGTTAGAGTTCCTGCAAGGCATGATCGGCAAATTATTCCTCTTTGTATCCCCCCACCCCCCACCCCCCGAGCCCAACAAGCAGGGCCGGGCACAGAGTGGATTTCAGGGCTTATCGGTTGAATGAAGGGATAGCCAGGTCACTGTGGGTCAAGGTGGGGCAGGAGGGCCTGAACTTGGGCATAAAAAGAAACTTCATGTGCAGACCTCAGGGAGCACGGCCGAGTAAGGAAGGAGGAGGGGACGACTGCACAGCGCTATCCCAGCGCAGCCCTCCAGAGCATCACAAAGGTGAGATCTTCGGTCCTGCAGAGGCAGAAACAGCCGCCCCCTTGATCCAGGTACCCACAGGTCACTTGCTTCTCCATGGCATGAGAAAACCCAAGTCCAAATGGTGGATTTACTTTGAGAAGCATTACTTTCCAAGGTGTTGGGCAGGCTGTCTTCCAAAGCAGGCAAAGAAATAAAGCTTTCCTTGTCTCACACATGCCGGGCCTGCCCCGTCATGCCCCTCAGCCATAGCCCACTTCCAGGTCCCTTGTGCAGATGGCTGCTTACCCTCTTTGGCTTTTACTAGTTTGATGGCCTGATTCTAAAGCCCTGGGGACACTGAGCAAGCTGGAGGGTCAGCTAGGCTCCTGGCTCCACACTGTCCCTGGGAAGTTAGTTCTCCCCCCATCACTCTCCCCACAGACTATAAGATTTACAAGAACCAGGCACTGTCACCATCCCTCTAGTCTGTCCCAAGCTGGAACTGAGCACAGAATGGGTACACGGGAGTCAGCACAATGGTTAGGATGCTTTGAAGGCTGAAGTCAGGGGCATCGGCCCAGTGATGCCACCTGAAGTTGTGCTTTCTCCCATCACCAGCTGGGGGCTGGGGCTTCTCCTTTGGCCAAGAGCTAACTTGCTGATTCCTCACTCCTCTCCCCACTCCTCTCCCCATCCCATCCTCACTCCCTCCTGCCTCGATCCACCAGCCTTTCCAACTGTCACACAAGACATCATCCTTTTCCCCTCATCTCCACTCACTGTCCTCCCAGTGTCTCTGACTTAGGTCCTTCCCTTGCATCCCACAGCCACTGTCCTGAAGCAGGCCACCTGCCCCTAGGTTGTCACAGTGGATCATGTTGTTCCTTGTTTCCTAATCCCTCACCGACTTTCTGCTGTTACAGTACTGGTTTATGTCCTTAGTTACCATCTTGCCCCAGCTCATTCCTGGGCCAACATTACTCATGGGTCCCCTCTTAAATCTAAAACTAACCAAAACTAGTTTCTAAACAGACCCCCGTTTCAAACCTCCATGCCTTTGCACATGCTGTTCTCTGTTTAAAGTGCACCCCCCCCCGCCCCCGTCTCTGAATCCCTGGCGAATTCCCACTTTTCCTTTAAGTCCCAGCTAAGGGATTGCCTTTCCTGCCAGTCTCAATACGGTGTGAAAATCTCCGTTTGGGGGCCTGCTCCTCCATTATATCTCGGGTTCTTCCAAAACAGGGGACACGTGTGGCTCATCCGTGCGGCCCTGGCTCCCAGCCGAAGGCTGGCACAAAGCTGCGCCAGTGTGAGCTGAATGACTGTTTCAAAGCCGCGGGCGAGGGCTGCCTTCCTCCCGGTCAGCCCTGGCCCCCCCAGCTGTGCTCGTACCCCTCTCCTCCCCGCTCTGGGCGCGTCTTCAAATCCCACAGTCGGCCTCCCCGCCCCTAGGACCGCCCCCAGCTGGTGTCTCACTTCCTCTCGGGAGGCGCGCCCTGAGCCGGCACCTCCCCTTTCGGACTGCTCGGGGAGCTCAGCCCTCTGGCGCACTTCTCTGGTTCAGCTTCTCCCGCCTTCCGGGATCCAAACCGAGAATCGAAACTGAGCTGGACTCCATGCAGCAGGAACCTGCGCCCGCCGGATCTCCCGGGCCCCAGCAGGACCCCGCACTGCCCTACGCCCCCACCATGCCTCCCCCGGAGTCCCCCTCCGAAGGCCACCAGCCCAGCCCCAGCCCCAGCCCCACAGAGGTACTACTGCTTTTGGGGAAATGGGGTTTGGGCTTTGTTGATCTGCTGCGGTGAGGTGGGGGACTGGGGGGAGGGACAGGATAACTTGGCCAAATATCTTAAAGAGAGGCCCAAAGAGGGAAGACCAGGCAAGACGGTCTTGACCTTCTTGGGGGGGTAGGGTCGCGGAAAGTAGAAAAGGGGACCAGGATGAGTTAGGGGGGCTCCTTTGGGCTGCGAGTCTCCACGAGTAGGGGGATAAGACGCTGAGTCAGTGACACTCGGGACCAGACTTTTCCGTCCACGCTGGCAACTTGCCTCTTAGCCCCTGCCTCAGATGAAGGACCAACTATTAGGGAGAATGGAGGTAGGAGCCCTATTCCACCGGCCTGGGAGCCCGGGGCATGTCTCAGGTGTGGAAAAACCAGAACCCAAGTTCCCAGATCAGAAAGTGGGAAACGGGGGTGGGGGGAAGTGTCTTAGCTAAGGTCTCATAGTTACTGTGGTTTCTCCCCTAGGAACACCTCATCCCCCCAACCCCCATCCCCAAGGGGCTTATTGGGGGTTTACTAGTCATCTCCTGCACAAACTCCCCAGCCCACCCCCTAAAGGAACTACTTAGATCACTTGCTCTGTTATCTAGAGCTTTTTTATTGCCCTTTATGAAAGTACAAATAACACCATATAGCAGTAACTTTTATTATTTGCATTATTACTCCTAGCAATAATATTAACAATACTAGTTAACATTTATGAATGGGTCTCATGTGCCAGGTATTATATTAAGCACTTTTTTTCCTGTGATAAAATATACGTAACATAAAATGTACCATTCTTAGCATTTCTGAGTGTACAGTTCAGTGGCATTAAGTGCATTCACAGTGTTGTGT